AAATTAACCTAAAAGATGAATAATCAATACTCAATGAGAGTTGTGAGCAGCAAATGTACTACTCAAGGTATTAACAGCCAATGGTGAATCTCCCCTCCCCTGTCTTCACGACCGCCTGACAGAGGCCTGCTCTTCTTCTTTTTCACGTTATGTGGCAATTTGCCTGTGCGTGCGGGGTGTGTGAAGAGTCTTGCAAGTTTGGTGACTTGTGGAGCTCACGTGAAGGTCCCCCAAGAAGGGGCGTGTTAATTAAGTAGGATATCAAACATTGAAAGATAAACGAAAAACATATGTCTTAAATATGGACATGATTTGCTTACTTAATTTTATATTGGACACTCGAATTTGAGGTTCACATATTTTTTATTAACTTTTTGTTGCTTTTCTTAATAAAATGTATATATATATATATTTGTATACGTGTGTATCATTTGTCAATAGTAATTTCGTATTAGTTTTAAATGAGTTATTCATATTTTTATAATAAAAATGAGGCAAAAATCTCTTTTTAATTACCCAGGAGGGAGGGAATGGGAGAAAGGGAAATTAAGGAACAGGACAGAGGGCACATGCAAAATCCATTGAGGTGTAAATGGTATTAAAGAGAGCAGAAAGGGAAAGGGAAAGGGAAAAGAAACAATTATGGCTGGAGTTGTTCACATTTACCTCACAAACCTCCCAGCTTCTCTACTCTACTCTAGAAGTTGTTATTTCTGACAGCCTTGCTTCTTTTATATACCCATTACTGGAGTGGGTCCTGAAATGGGGTTGGTAGGGCAAAACAGAACAGAGTAGGGCAGCATCACAATGTTTAGACTTTAGATTTTGTCCCCCCAATCCAATTAACTGTATTCCTAACATTGAGCCAAACCATAATGGAAAATATCTTATGTTAACATTTCATTATTTAGTTCTGAATTTCCCTTCTTTGTGAAAAAGAAACACCTTTTTTGGTTTTGGTGTTGCTCTATGATTAAAGAAAACAAAAAAGCAATGGGTTGCCCTATGTTCTTTCACTTCTTTGGGATGCTCCAAAATGGTAAGGGGAGGGTTGTTTTATGATGAAAAGGACTGCTTTTGTTATGTTTTGCATTTGGAGTTTTGGGACCACTACTACTTACCAAAATGCCTTAATTCTAAGGTGACAAGCACAAACACCAGCTGTGCAACCATCGCCACGTTCTTACTTTCCTACATGTCTACTTTAGCTACAACAGCTAACTAAGATCAAGATACATAAATTTTAGGATATTCAATTAATTAAGAATTTGAGAAGTTAAGATTAATTTATAAGTTTCAAATTGTTTAATACTTTTTAAAAACAAAGTAAATTCAGACACTTTGAATCCACAAGGAAATAGATTATCCTGATCTATGTAATCTGGATACGGCTTGTGATAGGAAGGACGAACCAATGGTCTTAAAGGTGGACCATATGTCTCCTGGACTAGATCAATCAGTTGATTTCTATCCAAGGGAGAGGGTGCTGCTTGCAGCCCTAATGGTTGAAAGGCATTATTCTGGAAGTTGGGCTGTGGGGCTGCATTTGGACGACGTGCAGGAGGTACATATCTTTATTGATTGGCGTTGAGTTGCTCAACTGCACGGAATGCTGCTTCCACAGGATCTTGTGGTCCAAGGATGCCACCAACAGGATTGTTTTGCTGCTGCCTATTGAACTGTAGCTGGACTGCACCAAGAGCATTATTTTGAGTATTGGGCATTTGTTGCACCACCTGTGGCTGATTAATATGCCCCCCGTGCCCCCTGGGCAAAGGATCTGGAAGATTTTGTTGTGGCAATTCTATTGTTGGAGGTACGGGTTGCCTTGGAACATTTTGTTGCTGTCGAACATGTTCTATGGTTCTCTCAGAAACTGCAGTGAAGGTTCTACGACTTTCTGCCACTTCTTCTCGAATCGCTCGAGAATTGTCATGAATGGCCCTTTCAATAACATTCAAACATTGAGTGAAATGATCTGAATGTTGTCATTGGGCTTGTAGAAAGCTTTGTAGACTACGCTCCATGTTCTGATTGGCTTTTTCTTGTAGCTTCCTTATTTGCTTAAGTTCTTGAGATATTTTATTGCTTGACTCAGCAAAATCAACTTTCTCCTCATCATCATTGCAATACATGGGATTGTCATATGATCGATTTGCCAAGGGAGAAATAGGTGGAAGATGCTTCGGACTATTTTCACCTTCAGAATGTCTTGGACTCACGGGAGCCACTTCCACTTGTTGTGCAACTTCTTTTCC